AGATAAGATTATGTTACTTCTATAATCAGAAAAATGATAATTTCTCAAAGGATTCTGAGGCTCATATAGATTTATTTGGTATGTAAACCTCCCATTCTCACAGCCTGATTCTCCTCCACTTTTCATATTTTTCCTAGATTAACATTTTTTGTTTTGGTTACTTCTTTTTCTCTTTAAAACTACATTTGATGCTTTTAATTTTTTGAGTTGATTTCACATGGGATAAGGAGAGGAACTACAAAGTGTTGCTTATTCTGGGAACAGTCATGGGTTCAACAATATATTTGAAATGCCTTCACTTCCAACTAACTGTTGGAGGAGAGGAACAGAACTCTCTGGTTGGCAAGTTGCTTATCAACATATCCAGGCCAAGTCACATCAGAACATAATCAATCAATTAAATGTTCACTGTGCTAAACATTGTCTGGAATGCCAACAAAAGGAAAGTTTGCAACTGCATTTTCATGCCTCCTTTCATTTTTATTTAATGTCACAAATCATACAGAAATTATTGCAGAACTCTCAAGGAAGTGGGTGAAATGTTACTCTTTTGAGAAGATGGCTCTAAAGGGTTGATTGATCCTTTCGACTGAATTACTGGGCTTCCCCAGGTATTTTCCTGTACATATTTTACCTGCATAGAATGAGCTTCTCCTTCTTAATGAAAGGTTATTCTCTTAATATGAGTCTTCCTGTGTAATTATTACCTTCTGGAATTAGAACATTGAGTGGAATATCAGCACATCATGAGTTAAATGATGGGACTGAAATGTCAATCAACGTTTCCCTTGAGAAAACGATGATCCTCTCCTAACAAGGTAGCCTCCTGGTAGCATAAACGGAAGTCAGAACTTGTAAAACTACGTTAGGTTTCCTCCACTTTTCCTCTCCTGCGTCTTTACCACTTCGTTCAATATCCTGCTCATCCGCTTCATGCAGCCGTTTGGATTTGTGAGTCTGTCCTTGGTATCAACTGCCTTACAGAGACGAACTTGCCCAGAAAGCAACCTCTCTCCCCACTGACATCCTCTGTCTATGCCTCTCTCATTGAATTTTATTAAAATATACCTTATCAGGTAATGTATTTAATTGAGTACATGTCTCCGCTGCTAATCAACAAGTACCTTAAGGCCAGAATACATGATGAAAATATCTCTGGTAAGTTGTGACGGTGGATTTCTCCATTTCTTTCCTTACTATTGAACTGGTGGACGAAAGGATGGATGAGTAACAGCAGTGGGAGTAGTGTTTTCATGTGAGAATTCCTTCCTAGCATTTCTCAAAAAATTGTTTGTTTTGATATCCAAATTCTGAGAAGGAAGTAGTTGAGAAATAGAAAAATTAGAAAAAGTATTATAATTCTCCTGCAAAAATTAAAGCATACTAACCAACATAGAGAGGTTACTGGTTCAGAGGAATCCACTCATGTCAAGAGGAAAGCTAGAGCAGGAAACATGACATGTGGAGTCAAAGGTTAAGTCTACATTTCTGGAACTAGGACGAGAAGCACTGGGAGAGAAGCAGTCACGAGCTATGCAGTCTGGCTTGTAGCTGTCTCCATGTATGTGTTCATGGCCCCATCTGCTGCTTATGGTGAGTCATTCTTGCAAGTAAAATAAATACTGGTAAGTTTATATGCCTAGGATACTTTATACAAATCCTCTGGGTGATGTTCCAAGACATAACAAATTTTGGAAGCAAATAATTCCTTAAATTGGGAATTTTGATATGTGATTCTGTATAGTGCCATTAATCTTATTGAGAAATCTGAATGTTTAGTTATTCAAATACTACACAATAAGGTTCATGAGACATTTTCCAGTGTTTGGCTATTAGCTATAATCTACATTGCTTGGTATATACTGATACATCTAATATTTCTAATTCTCAAACAGACTTTGGATACCTATAATAATGAGTAAAGAGTATAAAGAACATTGAAATCTTTTAAGAATAACTTATAATTTCATGCATTCCTGAAAATTCCCAGGAACTCTTATTTCTTATTCTCGCATGTTGAAGTCCAAGGAAACCATAGGGGGAGTGTGTGTTTGTGCATTTCTGTGTTGTGTAATTACAACTAGTGAGTATAGATGGAGAGATGGCTAGATAAGGAAATGACAAAATGAGAGACATTATTATACAACAACACATCCTGGGCAGACAGTTTGTTTATAGATATTGGATGGGTCAAAAATAACCTGCAATGCCACATCATCAAGAATCTCAATGGATATATTGATAATGATGACAGTGTTCCCTCCTCTTTTTTTTTCTCTCCCTCTTGCTTTCTGTTTCTTTCAGTAGTGACTTTGAAACCACCTTGTAAAATTACAGATTCTAGTGAAAATCAGTAGAAGCTTGAAATATGATGGTGATTATTGGTTGGGCTTTTCTTTGCCCTACTAGCTCCAATTTGAGAATTGTCCTAGTTGCGTCTTTTGGGTTCCAATCCAGTCTCATAAAAGGGAAAAAGAATGGTGCTCCTAGCACTGGTAAAAATAAACTACTTGGGACCGGCCCAGTGGCATGGCATTTCAGTTTGTGCGCTCCACTTAGGCGGCCCCATGTTCGCTGGTTTGGATCCTGGTCTTGGACCTATGCACCACACATCAAGTTATGCTGAGGCGGTGTCCCACACAGAGCAACTAAAAGGATGTACTACTATGACCTACAACTATCTACTGGGACATTGGGAGAAAAAAGGAGGAAGATTGGCAACAAACGTTAGCTCAGGGTCAATCTTCCTCCAAAAAAAAAAAAAAAGAGGGTACTCAACAGAGGTGGGGCACAATTTTGCATAACCGTCCCCAGAGACCGCATACTTGGTGATCTTTATAAAACTATTTTAGAAAGACCCCTTTATACCATAATACAATTCCTTCGATAAACATTTATTATGGACATTCGTTTATGTATTTTTTTTATTAAAGTATAAATGACATACAACATTATATTAGTTTCAGGTGTACAACATAATGATTCTATATTTGTATATATTACAAAACGATCACCACAATAAGTCTAGTTAACATTTGTCACTATACTGTGTGGTTAGAAAATTTTTTTTCTTGGGATGAGAAATTTTAAGATCTACTCTCTTAACAACTTTCAAATATGCAATACAGCATTAACTATGGTTGCCACGCTGTACA